GTCACAGAGACTCTGAAACGCATCGCTGGGAAAAACTTCAATTGTGTCTTTATTCGCACTTCTTATGTTAGCGCCTTGCAGTTAACGTTCACGGTAACGTTTACAAGACTCAATGTTTGTTGTTGGTCTTGTTATCATTGCTGAATAAATAGGAAATTACCTATACTAAAAACTGAAAAATAAATTGTCGATTTCTGGAATAAAGCGGTATAATATATTCACTTCACTTCAACGTCTCATAGCATGAGCATTTTGAATGTCTAGTTTTCCTTTTAAGGCTACTTCCTCTATTTAAGATTTGCTAGCTGGAAACAATTTTTTAATTTCATTACCTTGCACAGTCAATGTGGCTGAGGACGATACTGTTCCTAGAAAATTTCTTGCTTCGCATGTGTACAATCCACTATCCTGTGACGTCACATCCACATTAATTAGACCATCACGTGACTGGAATATTCGCTTGTCCGCGGGAAGGCTGGAATTCTCTTTCAGCCACGTGACCTGAGGCGCTGGATTTCCTTTAACCTCGCATTGCAACGAGGCTATATCTGTTTCGTTCACCACCATTGACAATGGAGGTAACACAATGGAAGGAGCTGAGATGGATTCACCAGGGTCGCCCTTGGGTCCTTGAGGGCCTTGATCGCCTTTAGGCCCAGGGGGCCCCTGATTTCCTTGAGCCCTTTTGTCGCCTTTTGGTCCCTGTAGTCCTCGAGGACCTGGCGGTCCATGTTTGCCTGGGTGACCAGGACTGCCTCTTTGTCCTCTGGGACCTCCGGGGGATTTTACGGGACAGGCCAGCTTACCCAAAGCAATTATCAGTCCTCTGACGTCATCAGGATTGACAGGTTTGCCTTGTTTTGAGATATCACTATCATTTCCTGCAGAACGTTTATGACGAGTTTATAACAGGTCTGCAAAAAAGTAAAGGACACGATTTTACATTAGGATTATTATTTATTCGCTCGAAATATACCGAAAGTATATTCGAAGCTTGAAAGCGTTTTTCTTTTTTTGTTTACCATTTTACCAAATTGATATTTTAAAGCAGCTGTAACTGTCGCGAAATTTATCAGGCATTTTCCACCAAGCTATAAAATGAAACAATGTAACAGTTCAATAGCGACCCACCCCCAGGGGCTACTCCGTTGGTACCTTTTTCAGGCTTCAGGTATATGAAAGGGTAGGGATTTCATTAGCAGAAGTATATGAAAGGGTAAGGAAATCTGTCATTTCGGTCCAAAGGCATTGCCTTCAGTAAAACAATTAAAAGGATGCAAAGTTATAAACTAGGCATGCGAAACGGGTACCATTTGTCAATAGAAGGTATACAAAAGGGATACCTTTTCTGTCAAAAATTGTATACAAAAGGGTAAGGTGTTGGATCTTGGGGCGGAGCCTCCCCGGATAAAACTGTGTTGAGTAACCCTGCCCCTCATCCCCCCCCCCACCTTCCTCCGGGATAGCGGCAGATCCCCTTTCGAAAATACCGTAAAATTCCGAAAATAAGCCCTGGGGCTTATATTTTTCAAAGGCCCTTTTTGAGGGGCTTAGTTTTGGGGCTTATAAGAGGGTCTCAATGGGGTGGTGGCTTTTACGGTTATCGGCTAAAATTTTGGCTCTTTTACGGCTATCGGTTAATTGTTTTCAGTTACGGTTAACAAAAAAGTTAAAAATTAATTTCTTTTGTTTCAAAGAGTTAAATATTAATAAACCAAGAGAGGATAAAGGGGACAGAGAAGGCATCCCCTATACGCACCCTATTCCATAGGTAATTCGTCTCGAATTATTTTTAGAATCGGTATAAAGTTACCTCGCGCGCTGCGTGGATGTTTCGTGGATTTTTCGCATGACTAAACTCTGTGCAAAACATGTCGGGCGAAAGGAAATGAAAGCGTAAAGAGATCGAGAGTATTTCTGAATATTGAAGCAAATAAAGACGGCGCTCACCTGGGAAAAGGGAATTGCTGGACCCTTTGACAACCCGTGAAATCACTTTAGCTCGAAGTTGTCGTAACCTCAGTGCTTTAATAAAATGAGAAATTTCGCCGGTCTATTGAAACCGGTCGTTTGTATAATAAAGTAAGTAGGACGCCAATTGTTATTTTTGTTGAATAATAAAAGACTAATAAAACAATAAAAAATATCAAACCAGAAATTGCTCTCTTCAAACTGTAAATTATAAATGATCCTGAGAGAAAATTCGGTGTGTTAAGGATTTCCCTGCTGTACTGTTAGCTCTATACAAGAGAGGAAGGGCGATTCTTTCTTAATTTTCGTTTCGCTGACACAGCTTTAGCAGAAATCTCTCTTTAGTCATTTTGGTCGACAAAATAAATAACAATATCGCTCGCCGCGTCTTCCGCCATTTTTTTCTGAGTCATATTCGTGAAGGACGCGTGGCTCTGAGCGTGGCTCATCCACGCGGAACACATTCGCGCTATGTGATTGGCTGTTCTCTAATCCCCCTTGGGATCTATGGTCTTAAAAATAACTCGACACGAATTACCTATGGAATAGGGCATTTATAACAGAAGAGGTCGTTTTCACACTTGAGACGGATTATTCGTGTGAGAAGGGTTATCCGTTAGATAATTCGAGTCAGATAGGTAATACGTCTTAATTTGAAAATGAAATAGTTTTGATTTTAGACGAATAATCCGACTGACTTCATCCATCAATTTTGACAGACAGTTTGAAGATGGATTATCCGTTTCAGATAGCCTGTGTACAGCCGCCCCCTTCTCAGAGGAAATCGGAGAAGGGGTGTCTGTGGGGAAGGGGGACGACTGTACACAGGCTAGTCTCAGACGGATGATCCATTTCTGGCTCTTGTGTGAAAACGGCCAACAACAAAATGCCAGTTTCCAGTGTTTTTAATGACAGCGAAGGACTGTACAGAACGACTGTCTGCCGTTGCCTTGTCTGTGGGCCTCATTATTCCGCGCGGCAAATGCGTTTCTGGCGACGTGTCCGAGCGAGTTTTTTTTCTCAGATACGCCACTGAGATACCTTGACCGAGACTGCGTGGGAACACGACGTACAGGGACTAGGCATGGCAATGTCTGCCGTAGCGTCAAAGAGAAACAGGGAATTGTTGTTTACCGGCAACGTCCTTTACAAACAGTGGCATCTTTGCGTGTTGTTTCACTAGTACTTCGAAGGCACAACCTCCTGAAAATCTCAGATATTAATCCCCAGCAAGAAGCCAGATTTTCGCTATGGAAAAAATCACTTCCCTGAGAGAGCGGCGGAAATGGAGCCTAGGTCTGGTTCAACAAATCTAGGGAACAATTTCTTTTACGATTAACTCTTTTTTACCCTATTTAAGGCTAACGGTCAAAATTTTTCAATTTTTACGGCCATCGACTAAATTTTGGGCCGTTTTACGCCTATTGGTTAACCCCATTGAGACCCTCTTATATTCGGAGGGAAATTTGCGTTTCCAAATCGATTGGGCTAGCCTTATAGTTGTAAGTAAATTTACCGTTTTTGCTTTGTTTTACTTTGTATTTGAGGACAATTTTCCAAGTACGGGCTTATATTTGGAGGGGCGATTTAACGGAGGGTTTTTTGCGTTACCGGATTTTTGGGGGGGGGGGGGCTTATATTTGGAGGGGCTTATACATGGAGGGGCTTTTTTTCGGAATTTTACGGTATTTGATTACGGCGGCTTCCTTCACAGGCCGCCCAAACTCACGTTATGAGGGAAGGGTGTAATGTAATTTACATACCATAGGTGACGCGCCGGTGTCGCGTTACAGGCGACCGTTGAAAATATAAGAGACTTTGTATGAGAAATATATTTCTGAGATCTGCGAACGCTACATAACGCTAAACCTTACTTTTTCTTAAATGAAATTAATTAAAAAGACTTACCTGCAATGTATTCCACTGCGTTTTGGTGTTTGTTTGTCGTTTTACTGATTTATGAAAGGAGTAACAGCGGTTACGCAATAAAGCCAAAAAATCAGTAAAACGACAAACAGACACCAAAACCCTGAGGGAAAATGGGAACTACTCGTAGTCTATTATGTTACTGCATAATTTAGTTTGTTACAGGGGATAATTAATCAACCAAAACATTCTTTCACTGAGAGATCATGAGAGTGGCATAAATTATCTCTCAGTTGCAGAAATACACGATCGTCACAAACGCAACGCCAAAAATATAAACAAGAAATCAAACGTCAGTGAGATCATTAGTAGAGAGGACATAAAAAGGGAAGTTAAACTGGTGATGAGTTACCTGGCCTGCATGGCACATTGTCCCAAGGGAGTCAGGGGAAGACGAGGAAAGCCTGGTCCCCCAGGCAAACATGGACCAGCTGGGCCCCAGGGACCACAAGGACCAAGAGGTCCTCAAGGAGATCAGGGGCCTTCTGGACCTAGAGGCGATCAAGGCCCTCAAGGACCCAAAGGCGATCCTGGTGAATCCATCTCAGCTCCTTCGATTGTGTCACCTCCGATGTCCATGGTGGTGAACGAAACTGGTATAGCCTCATTGCGGTGTGAGGTGAAAGGAAATCCAGTGTCTCAGATCACGTGGCTGAAAGAAAATCCCAGTCTTCCCGCCGACAAACGAATTATGCAATCACGTGGTGGTCTTATGATAAGAGATGTGACGTCACAAGATGGAGGAGTGTACACATGTAGGGCAAGAAATATTCTTGGAGTCGTGTCCTCATCAGCCACATTGACTGTTCAAGGTAATTTCTTATTAATTTTCCATTGTAGTCTTAATTCACCGTCATTTTCTCTTGCTCTCATACATCTAATCAAGCTGAATACTGTTACATTCTTAACAAAGGTACATATTTATCGAAGCTTCTGAAGAACTTGGAAGCTCTATCTAGGATATATATACACTCGAGACTGTTTACATGCACGAAAATCTTAGCCGATACCACTAACATCCCAGAGAAGATTAACAGGAATATCTGACGTCAAAATTGAACCGTGGGAACAACGCAAATAAAACTTCATGGCTTGCAATATTTCCGCAGTCGTCGTCAAGATAATTTATTTTTAAGCATTTACTTTAGAAGTTTTTCTTTAGATACTGGCAGCCGTGTTGGGTTTGCATTTAAACACAGAGAGAACAAAGTTTCTAAGCCAACAAGATTCTCTCTTCTTGACAGAGGATAGAATGTATTAAAAGTCTAAACACTATTTTTTAGTACTTAGTGACTTAGTCAGAGTCGTAGTCGGGGTGGTAAGAACACCTTATGACCCAAAGCAGAAACTCATAAGTCAATCGAAACTGATCGGAGTCGTAAGCGGCGTCATTATAAGCCCAACGGAATCGCGATTGCAAGAATCAGAATGTTTCCATTTTCTTCTTTCTCGTCGTACTTATTATAATTCCGTACTACCTCTTTCTCAGTGTCCTCTTTTTCGTGTCCCTACGGAGCGAGAGGAGAGGAGAGGAAAGACTCCGTCAGGTGCACTGTTTCATGGACACACTTTCCACTGACCAGGGTACGTTCAGTAGAGCCAAATCTCGCTCTGATCTGCCCCTCCCCTAAATCGTTTATTTGAAATCTCCAGATTCTGGACCAGACTCAACCAGGGTCTCTTTCTCTCTCTCAATCCGTAGGGACGGTTAGGAGAGAATCGTGGAAACGAGGTTGGACTCCGTCGAGTTAAGAGTTTCTGAAAACGAGTCCCAAGCAGAGACGTAAAAAGAAACCTTTCCCAATGCGACAACAACAACAAAACCAACAATAACTTTATTTAGTGGGATTTTCAAGAGCTCGAAATCGACGGAGCTGCAAGCGAAATTGGAGCGCTCTCTTTAGTTTTACATTATCACATTGTACTTTTGATTACAACTCTACCTTCGACTCCGTCACTAATGAATCCAGTCCCAAAAGATAACTGTAGCCTCGACTTCTTTGGGGTGCGGTTGCTTTACACTGGCCGATACATCAAACGCCGAAAGAAAAAAGTAGGTCACGAACTTGAAAGTAATCGACTAAGTGTAAATTTCTCGAGGGGGGACTTTAACGTTTGTTGGCGTGCACTTTTCATTTGTGTCTGTTATTTTCAGTTGCGGCCTTGATCCGAGAAAAGCCTTCCTCAGTAATCGTTGAAGAAGGAGAAAACGTGAACCTAGAATGCAAAGCTTCTGGTCTGCCGATGCCAACGGTGACGTGGCGAAAAGCATTTGATCACTTGCCAAGAGAAAAGACCGCAATGATCGATGGAAACATGACTATACTAGGTGTAACTAAAGACGATAGAGGGACTTACGTATGCTCAGTAAAGAATCTACTTGGAGAGGAATCCGCTTTCTCCGTCGTAACAGTGATTGACAGGCTCAGATTTATCATTACCCCTCCCATAAAAGTTGTCACATCCGAGCCTAGCAGCCTGATGCTAAATTGCAAAGCTAAGGGATCCCTAGAAATTACCTGGAAAAGGGCCAACAAAAATCTTCCTGAAAACCACATTGTTTTTTCAAACGGAACTTTGTTTCTCAAAAAGGTTATCACAAATGATGCTGGATTTTACACATGTGTAGCAAAAAATTATCAACGGACAATAATGGCATCGTCTACTGTTGAAGTGCTCAAACCCATGTCCTGTAGCAGAATAAAATCAGGCCGCAGTGGAAGCTCTTCAGGTAATTATATTATTGACCCTGATAGCAAATGAGGGGTGGCTCCGTTCAGTGTGTATTGTGATATGAGTGACAAGGGAGGAGTTGGCGTGACAGTCATAAGTCACGACAGTGAGAATAGAACCCATGTTGGTAATATCCCTGGATGTGAATGGAGTAACCCAGGATGTTATAGTAAAAATGTGACTTACACTGGGGTTAGCGCTGCTCAGTTGGCAGCACTTACTCGAGTTTCACAGAACTGCGAACAGTTTATCAAATTTGAGTGCTACTATCAGACAGCCTTTGTGTCGAAGAAGGTTGCCTGGTGGGTGTCACGTGATGGAACGAAAATGAACTACTGGGGAGGAGCTGGTGGATCAGCCAACATGTGCGCTAGCGGAGTAACAAACTCTTGCTCAAATGGTCAAAAGTGTAATTGTCACAACAGTGGTAGCAGAGGTTGGAAGAGGACAGCGGACTGTTGACAGAAAAGTCTGCACTACCTGTATCACAAATCAGATTGGCGGACCTGGATGACCCAGATGAAGACGGATATCATACATTGGGAAAACTCAAGTGCTATGGCCGGGCATGAGATATCTGCCGAATATTTAACAATCATTCCTCGAGCCCGAATGGGCTCTAAGTCAATAGCCCATGAGGCCGAAGGCCGAATGGGCTATTGACTTAGAGGCCATAATGGCGAGAATAAAAAAATTTTTAGCTAGTTAAAGCTAGACTTTAATCCTTTTTTGCCGCCAAAAAGCCCGCGGTTTTCGCTACTAGTGGGCTATAACATATAGCCTAGTAGTAGCTCAACCAATCAGAACGCAGCATTGATAATAGACCACTTGTTGGATTTTACTATACTATAGATACATTGCTATATAATTGCTTTCCAAGGAACGGTTTTTTGTGGCCGCAGATTACGTCGGAATGAGCAACGGGTAGGCTGAATAAATGATCACTTCACTTAAAAAACCAGGAGCCTTTCAGAACTGACCGCAGTTTTCAACACAGCAGCGCCCAAAATCTTTCAGTAAATACTTGTTCAACAAATATTTAATATGTTAGTTACCGTTTGTATGGGTAACTTTAGAAGGGCTAGCAGAAAATTTACTGTAAACACTAGACATGCTTCCTTCCTCTGAGTTTTTTTTTCTAAGGAACACCTAAGAAAGGAACAAAAATTGTTTTACCTTGTGAATACAATTGATGGAAAGGGAAAGTGAGGTGAAATTGATCACTCAAGTATACGTACAAAGAGCGCGCACTAGTGCATATACATGAAGAGTGCATGTACATGCATGCAGCTCAGTCTGTTCCAAGCACGCCCTTCCCGCCCCCTCTTCCAGGGCGGTTTTCGGGCATTCGTCAAGTCATTTGTTCCCACGATGGGGCGTTTGACATCAAAGTTCATCCAAGGGTGGGTAATTTGCTAACTCTTTGGGATACGACTGAAATAATCTGATGAGAGGACACAGTTTTTGTCCTTTTTACATTATATATGAACGATAATTTTAGACGTCAGTATACAATGGCATCACTGGCTGCCATTGTCTGTCCATTTAAAAGCTAACTGTATGATACGTGTGATACTGAGTAAAGCCGGATGACAGAGGTAGAGCTAGAAGACCCTACAGCTAGGGAAAGGCATCCTTCTGTTCTCGAACAGTGGTGTGGGTTCTTTTACCTCCTCTTCGAGTTCACTGATAAAGGAAGGACAAAGGAGAGAAGGCTAATTGCTTGATGCCATCAGTCATAATGCAGTTCCTTTTGTTGTTTGTGTGGGCTTTCGAATTTTAGCTTCTTTTTTGTTTTGGCTCTTCTTTTTCAACAATGAGGCTAAAGTAAAACCAGTTACAGAAAGAAAGAAGAAAACTACTCATTGAGGCCTACTCGTCCTCGGGCTCCCCTTATTTATTTAACGCGCACTAGGAAGCGAACTTTAGCGGTGACACTGGGGGAAAGCAACAGTATTGTAAATAAATTGCAGTTCTATTCTAGTCTCTTATACCTGTGTGCAATAATAATGATGATAATAATAATAATAATAATAATAATAGTAATAATAATAGGTTTATTCAGTATAGCTCTCATATTCTGATCTCAAGTCGCTTTACAATTTAAAAAGGGAAAAAAAGGAAATGATTTACATATCTCGAGCATGAAATATAACGTTTTAAAATCTATCAATAATTCACAATTAAAAGGGAAATTAAACAAAAATTGACAATTAAATTAATTTGCTATTAACATTTATATATAATATAATCCTATCAGATCAGTATCGATATATGCATGATACATGTACAGGCATTAAATTAACATCGTTTTACAAAAACATTGAGCTACTCTCTAAAAATTGCTTAAATGATACGTTTGCAGTCCTTAAAACTAGTTAAAGATTGTGACTTGCCCAAATCGAATTATGGTGTAGTGAGTATCACAGTTTAGGGGCACACACTGATAAAGTTTCAGTGGTGAGAGATCTAGGCTGTTCTAGCAGCTACTGAGATGCGGACATCAAGTTCCTTGAGTGCGTAAGTCTCTAAACCTGACATTTTTTTGTTCTTGTCCAGTTTTCCTCTTCCTTGTACCTCATTGCCTTGACTGAGGTACATCGGATGGTATTGGAGTGATAGAAAAGCTTTCGACAGTCTGAAAAAAAGTATAATTATTGCTTTTGAACTGCAAAAAGATCAAAACATAGTATCTAAGATCTTAAAGTGAAGTTTCTTAGAAACTACTTAGTTTATTAAAAGATCCAGTTACAATTAAAAATCGGCTTTGTAATCATTGATCGGAGAACAAATTACAACTGATCTCCACCGGTTAGTTAATCTCAGCGATAGTTTACGCCATTGCCGTCTGTTTCGTGACATTGATCAACTCGTTCACTTAGAGATCGAGGTTCATGATCATCGAAAATGTTTCAATTCTTGGGTCAACAACGAAAAAGAGAAAAAAATATTTCCAACGGCAACGCCATGCGAATAATCATGAAGCCATTCCTTCCGTGTTAAAGAAAATTTTAAGAGTTTTAACTCTTAAAGTGTTTTGTTTAAACTTTCAATTTAAGTAACTTAGTGGAACATAATTTAAGTTGAACCGTCGTTATTTAATTTGTACACGCAGGGGAACATTTAATTAATATAGGTGATTTAATATCATTATGGTTGATAACTGACATTCTAGCTTATCGATCGGTTTCAGTTTTCTGGAATCGAAAAGACTTCCCTTTCGCCTGAAGGGCCGAAAGCTAAAAATTAAGGTTTAAAGAGATGGTTAATTTCATTTCTTTGGGAGGGGGCGGGGTGTGCGGGACCTATATAGCAAAACACACCTTTTTCGGGTTCTAAGATTAAAGATGTCAAATATACACCTTCTATATTTGCTGTAGTTCTCTCTAGCCTTCATGCTATGCAGGCTTTAGAGTATCACTGTATAATCAGAGTACAGCAAAACCTACATTGAACAGACACGCTTTCTTCCCATAATTTTCAAAAATATACTCACGTACCTTTAGCATTCAAGAAAGATTTTTAAAGGGTGATCACTTAATACAGATTTCACGATACTAAACAAATGAAGTAGATACTGAATCAAGAATTAAACTGATGCACAACGTAAAAGTCATTTGCAACCAGCCTAGGACCCGAAGGACATTCCCTATTCTCCAAGACGGCGAACATCACCTGATCCGTGAGGAAAAACAAAAATGGAGTCCAGAGACTTGCGTATTACGAGTTAGCGTTTTAACGTCTTACTCGTCTTGAAGGGATTGCCTATTTATTTTGAGCCGGCATTGTCGGTAATGGTGCTAATGTGAAAAATTTAGCCTGTGTACTTATGAGACCAGGAAAGCCGGTAAGCTACATGTAAAACGAAATTTCAGTCAACGTTCATGAGAGTAACAAATTCTCTCTCAATTGGAGAAAAACACATCCCCCACCAATTGAAAGTAATTTGATTAAAGGCAGTCAAGCCACCCAGGTGGAACAACAGCAGTAGCTAAGCATTCAGAGTGATCTCACTCTACTCGGAAGACGGCCTGTAGTGACCCTAAATATATAGGGCGTTTCAAAAGTTCGTTCCGATTGAAAAATGCATTTTGTAGAATTTAATGCTTCTACTGTATAAGCAAATTTAAACTTACTCGGTTAATAAATCTATAGTATATACTGAAACAGTGGATAGTGTTTCCGAGCGCTCTGATTGGAATATCCTGCGCTATTCACTGATTCACCTCCAGTTCCTCCTAGCGAGCGACGCCAAACTCACGTAGGTTGCGAGCAAAACGCTTTCCCGGTTTGCTGCCGTAACAAACTAAGAAATTTCACAACTAATCAAGCAAGCTATTTCCGAAATACATGAAGAAGGTGACGAAGTTCGGTTTGGAAGTTTTAACAGGTAAAGCTTTGTCTTTTTGACTTGAATAGTCATCGATAAAACCGGTGAAAAAGTTTTTTGTTTACAAATGCAAATTAAGCTTAAGTCTTGCGTTACTTTATTTAGTTGACTTGTTCATGATTGAATAAGCTTAAAACTAAATTTAATAATATTTTTTACAGAATTATTTTAAATACAAACAGAATTCACAACTCCTTTTAAAGAAACTTCCCCGCAAGAGCTAAACAAACGCCTTCAAAAGTTTTATTTGTCGTTAAGAAAAAGCGACGACCGCGGCCGTGTCGGTGGCTAGTAGTGGATATATATTTTAATCACCGCTTCGCGGCCTCGGCAAATATGCCGGTACTAGCCACCTTCACTTCGGTTAATAATTGTTATCTAGAAAACTGTTCAAAGAAATTTCAAACTAAATTTGAAGAAATTGTACCCGCCACTCGGAAAATGTTACAAAAAATAAAGGAGGCCATCCTGGTTACTAATATTTCTTTCTTTCTTTCTTTTTTTCAATATAAAATGAATAAGGAATAACATACAGTGAAACCTCCATTAAGCGGACACCTTCAGGATCTACCCAAATGTCCACTTAATAGAGGGTGTCCGCTAAATGGAGGTTTTAAAAATTGCGCAATGTTTGTTAACGATTAACATTCAACGGTTACTCTGTACTGAGATAATGTTTCATGTTGTTAAGGAAGCTAAGGAAGCTGTGCTGCACTTTTTGCAAGACTTAAATTAAGGTGAACTTTGATCACGGATGACAATCATACGGCCGGATATCGGTCTCATTTACAGTTTTTTGACAGCTAAATGTATTGATTTATCTTTAATAATCGACTACAGTACACCGTAATTTTTAGGGAGGTATCATAACTCCAAAAATGGAGTAAGAAGTTTAGGTACAGGATAACCCCTTTTTGTGGGTTACTTTAACTCCTAATTTAACTCCGAATTTGGGGTTACTCCTGAAAAAGAGTTCTTTTTACTCCCAGTCTGGAGTTAAAATAACTCCGAAATGGGGTTATTTTTACTCCTTACAGGGGTGGTTTTTATTCTTTTTGGAGTTAATTTTACTCTGAAAGTGAAGTAAAAATTTTAGGTACAGGATAACTCCTTTTTTGGAGTTATTTTAACTCGTCAATATCTTGGGTGACTTTTACTCCTGAAAAAGAGTTCTTTAAACTCCTTTTTGGAGTTAAAATAACTCCCCGCAAAATAACTCCACTGTAAGGAGTTGAATTAGCCCCACTAGAGGAGTTATTATAACTCCTTGAAAATGACTGTGTATGTATTTCAAGGACATAATCCAATACTGCTATTGTCAATTCAGTCCGGTGTCCACTTAATAGAGGCTTCTAACACTTTCTACTTATGTATCTACCTAATCAATCTTTAAATAAGTCATACTTTGAAAATGAATTGACCCATTTTTCACCTACAGTACAAACATTCTGGTACGTTTGCTAACCGAAAATATGGAGAACGGTCTTACCCCAAAAAATCCGAAAATGTGCGACCCCATTCTAGTAACTCTATTGAAAATGCCACCCCATTATTGGCAATCCAGTGGTGAAAATGCGACCCCAGCGACCCCATGCAGCCGCACATCCCCATTAGCCTCTTACATGGAAGTACCCCCCTCCGGGACTTGTGACAGGTACTGATGACTTTAACTTGCAGGGAAGTTAACTCGTTTCTTTTATCTAGATAAATTTTAGGATTTTTATGGTATTTTCATTTATTATTTTTTTATTTATTGTATATATTTTCATCTGTTGTATATTTCACACATTGTAAATTTTTCTACCTCTAGTTAATTTAATCTATATACTTATAACAGACAAAGCTACTTTGTGGAAATTAAGTGCTGTGATATAAAATTAACCGTTATTTAATATCTGACGAGTGATGAATACGGTCTTTGGGTTCATTGGATGCGCTAGAGTTTAGCATGTTTACCAAAAAGGGCCTGGAAGACAGCCAGCATTGAAAGGCGGAAACAGGGTCAGAGAGAAAATCCCCACGCGAGTCGTCCTAAAACAACATCCTTTTGAGCTACGACAGTCGCACTTGTATTTGCTTAGGTTATTAGTGAGTTTGTTACAACTGTCTAGTTGCAGATTGCTCGCTGGTTTTAGCCCTTTAAGCACTACATTCTTAAAAAAATTGTTGTATAATGGAGCCATCAAAAAAGGGTCCCGTCTCCAACACTCTGGTGTTTTCATTAATAGCTTTATCCTTTGCTCTTTGTTTCGTGGCTCTGGTCCACGTCGAGATCGAGCTTCACGCTCATCGAAAAATGCTTCAAGTCTTGACTCATCAGAGAGAAGAAAATGTCCACTCACTAGGTACTGTGAACGATAAACTGATTGCTTCTGTATTGCTTAGTGAGCCTAGTAAAGGTGAGTGTTTTCAGTAGTGTCTTGTTTTTATTCATTTGGGAATTTTCGAGACGGTTCGAGAACTCAATTTCTGATTGCATTATATGTATTGCGACTGAGGTCGTTCGTCAGAGAATCAAACATTCTACCAACATGCACAATAAAATCATTAACACAGTTTTACTGGTTGCGGTAGAGAACTCAAAAGTTAAATGCTCTTTCATAATATTTAGGGGCGACTACACCTAGAGTATTGGTTTCGGTTATTGTGGCGTACGTGATATCAAAGTCTTCCGGCTTGGCTCAACATCAAAATCCTCATGCATGGTTTTAAATGTTATTTGTGATAAGTATTAATATTTTCCTGCAGTACAGGATTCCTCGGGGAGAGGGGGTGCGCAGTTCATTTAGTATGTTAGATGAGTATCATGCCTTACTCTGTAGGTGAAAGGAGATTTTAAAGCACAAGGCTGGAAGGGAGTCTACTGTTTGCTCTGTAGTGTGGACTTCAGTGCCAAAAAGCAGGAAGGGGAGGGAGGGAGGGAGAGGGGGAAGGAAAAACAAAGAAATGAAGAAGCCTCTGAGTCCCCTTCCCGTCTATCCCTTAGCTCTAGCTCTTTTGCCAAGAGGGCAGTTTCTCACTTTCGAAAACTTGATCAAAGACTATTCACCACTTTTTGATAACCAACAGTCGCCGAAATGATTTATTCAGATGTTTTAAAAATATTTTTGTTGAGAAACAAAACAAGTGATGGAATCCGAATCAAGAATGATAATATATCACAACAATTCGTTAAGAAACAGGAACCAGAGAGACCGAACGACAGCGTCTAAATTCCTCTCAGATTGGTTTTGAATAGAGTATAGCTGGCTGCTTTTAGAGTCTAATTCAGAAGGATGATTGTAATTTTGTAACGGCTCTATTGGATATGGTGCTACTATAGAAACTTTAGTGTGTAAGACGGTGAGGACAAGGTGGACAAAGGTGGAGTTAAAGTTAACACAAATCTTTTCTTCTGTTGCAGATACACATAGTCGTCAAAAACGGTACTCAGAAAATAGAAATAAATCTAACGTCAGCGTTACCATTACTCATGAGGACTTCAATAGGGAAGTTCAGCTGGCCTTGAATAGATTGCTCTGCAAGGCGCATTACCCGAGGGGGGTTAGAGGAAAAAGAGGCAGGCCTGGTCCCCCAGGCAAACACGGACCAGCTGGACCCCAGGGAATACAGGGGCCTAAAGGTGCTCAAGGAGATCAGGGGCCTGCTGGACCTGAAGGCGATCAAGGCCCTCCAGGACCCAAGAGCGATCCTGGTGAATCCATCACAGCACCTTCTATTGTGTCACCTCCGGTGTCCATCGTGGTCAACGAAACCGGTATAGCGTCACTGTAGTGTGAGATTAAAGGAAATCCAACACCTCAGCTCACGTGGCTAAAGGAAAATCCCAGCCTTCCCGTGGATAAAGGAATCGTGCGAACAAGTGGTGGACTGGTGATTCGAGATGTGACATCTAGGGATGGCGGAGTGTATACGTGCAAAGCAAGGAACATTCTTGGCGTGGCGACATCATCGGCCAAGTTAACTGTCCAAGGTGATAATTCGAGGGGCTCGGGGTGGGGGTGATAATCCAATGCTATATTAAGAGCTATAAAAACTTTTGCTTATCATACCAGCCAAATTTAAAACTGTTATTTCACGCTGTGGAGTTACGGATATTCGTATTCAGACCGTGGCAAATTTTACCAATTTAAAAGCTCGGCAAAACGTGCTGCGTAATTCTCCTGTTGACTAACTGCCAACACATAGTATTGACATTTGGTCTTACGGAGAGCTTCCTAATACGTACCGTTATAGTCATATGAAGGATAGTGCAGATGCTCATCACCGCTTTAAGAGCGGACCATTAGAAACGTTATGGCAGGGGTGAGTAAGTTATTGAGCTGCATGAATACAGTGAATCTTTATTCAAGGGACACCCTTGCAACCGAGAGAAGTCTTCTTTGAATAGAGGCTGGGGTCTGTTAATAATTAACCAACATAGAAAACATACAGAAATCATCATTAACTTCTTTCTTAAACTTTATATTTTGGCCGCAACCTCTTCCCCAGGGCTTTTCCCTTAAACCATGTTTTAAGGCAAAAGCCCTGGGGACGAGGTTGTGTTGGGAGACGAGGTGCTTACCCAGGTTCCTATCACATCAATTTAAATTTTATCAATTTAACTTACATAGCTAAGTTTTTGAAAGCTTCCACATTTCTGATAAGTGCAAACTTGAAGCTATCAACCCTCTTTGTGGTCAGTCACTTTTTGTGTGCTAAGGTGTCCTCCGGCTGAATGGAGGTTAAACTTGGGTTTTGGGACCCAGAAAAAGTGTTCCTTTTCCCTGACTATGGGTGTCCCTTCAAGTGAGGTATCAAATACACAGATTAGGTGGGCGTTTTTCCGGGACCAAATTTTGTGTCTCCTGAATGGAGGTGTCAATTAAATGGAGGTGTCCCAAAGGAGAGGCTCCACTGTAATTTTTCGTTAGAATGTGTCCTATTTCTTTGGTGAATTTTCCCTTGCATGAATCAATTTTCTGTACTTAGTCCCCGCCCCCACCCCTTTTATAACATTTCTAATGGTCCTTTCCTTATCGCATTTGCAATAAGCTGGGCGTGTGGGGTGACTACGTACTTGGATTATTGAGGAAAGCAACGTACTGTAAGCACTAAAGTGCGAGGAGGCGTGGCAGAGGGTAAGTGAAAGTGAAACGTCTTTTGCCTTTTTATTAACCCCTAGCGTGTTAACTTTTGAATATTTTATAAATAATTCTTTTTTCTTACTTTTAGAAACCTCTACGAAGGAGAGAGAAATAGTTTGTTAACTTAGAACAATTCAAATGGTGTAAGAGTTTATCTCGCAATAAAAGCTGTCTTAAGTTAGAGAAAGAGGATGTTTTTAACCCTCGAGAAAACCGGGGAATAAGCTCTTCAAAACTGTTGTTTTTTTTATTGCAGTGGAAGCCTTAATTATTCAAAGGCCGTTATCTGTAATGGTTGAAGAAGGACAGAACATCACCCTGCAGTGTAAAACTAGTGGTGTACCTATACCGATTGTCACGTGGCAAAAAGCGTTTAGCCGGGTACCAAAGAAGAAAACGGCAGTGGAAAATGGGAGCCTTACAATACTCAAAGTAGAAAAAGCAGATGGCGGGACGTATGCGTGTAGTGCAAAGAATCTCCTTGGACATGACTCCGCAATCGCACAGGTGACTGTGATTGACAGGCTCAAGTTTACCCTGACTCCACCCCTTAAAGCTGTTGTCTTGGTGTCTTGCATGTTGATGTTGCACTGTGAAGCTCAGGGTGCAATAGAAATTGACTGGACTAGAGTGGGAAAGCATCTTTCACAAAATCATGTTTTTTACCCAAATGGTACTTTGCTTCTTACAAACATTTCACCAAATGATGCAGGATCCTATACGTGCGTGGCAAAGAACTCTCTGCGTTCAGTAACTGCAACATCTGTTATTGAAGTGAACAATGTTACGCCTAAGTCTTGCAGCAATATAAAACTTAAATGCAGTGAGAAGCCATCAGGTAATTATATTATTGACCCTGATGACAAAGGAGGCGTGACAAGGGAGGAGTTGGCGTGACAGTCATAAGTCACAATAGAGAAAGTAGAACCCATGTTGCTAATATTCCTGGATGTAATTATAATAACCCAGGATGTTACAAAAAAGATGTGACTTACACTGGAGTCAACGTCGCTCAGTTGGCAGCACTCACTCGAGTCTCACAGAACTGTGAACAGTTTATTAAATTTGAGTGCAACGATGATGTTGCCTTTGTGCCAGAGTCGGTTGCCTGGTGGGTGTCACGTGATGGCAGGAAAATGAACTACTGGGGAGGCGCTGATGGATCAGCCAACACGTGCGCATGCGGAGTAACAAACTCTTGCTTAAATGGCCAAAAGTGTAATTGTTACAACGGTGGCAGCGGCTGGAGAGAGGACAGCGGTCTGCTGACAGATAAGTCTGCTCTTCCTGTGACACAGATCAGACTGGCAGACTTTGATAACTCAAGTGAGGAAGGATATCATACATTAGGAAAGCTCAAGTGTTATGGCCTGGCATGAACTGATTTCTGTAAATATTTTTTGTAACCTGCCTAGCAAGCGTTTCGGTACGTTTTTTTTTTTGCTCCGAAACCAAACGGAAACGCTTGCTACGCAGGCTATATTTTTGGACGCATGAGCATTTCTTGTTTTTCAAAAAAAGTGATAGGGTTATGAGACTAAATTAATCATATGCAGCTAAATTTTGCAAAGAAAACTTTGCTTTTCAAGACAAACAGTTGTTTTTTTGTTTAGTAATGGTCGGCAGATTGTGTCAGTGAGTATGAGTAACGAGCAGCCCGAATGCGGATCTCTTCACTTACCCAGGATATCATACATTACGATAACATGAAATGTTATGGCCTGGCAAGTGATTTCTGTAAAATTTTGGATACAATTTTTGTTTTAAAAAATGATGGCGCCTTATTATAGGTTCGCGTTAATTTATGTTAACGTTAATTTCCGTGCCGTTCATTAAGTGTAGCGTTAATTTCCATTATTTTGACTCCAATCTCTCAAAACCTTCTGACAATTGACAAGTAAGAAAGAGAAGTATTTTTATCAGGCTGCAGTTCCGCCAGTTACAGAGAAACTGTGTAGAACTTGAAGTGGCCTGATTTCTTCTCTAAACCCGTCGTATACGTTTAAGGAAAGAGCCAAGAACAAAGTATCCATTTCGGATTTCAAGTTTAACTTTAATCACGCTGTCTCAACAAGTTTTGTTTCTTTGTAAACGTCGCGTCAATTTCCTTTATTGTGAAATGTTACCCTCTCTTACGCGTTAATTTCCTTAATTCGCAAATCGTTTTCCACTAACTTCGCGTTAATTTAAGTCGCGTTTATTTCCAATACCCGAGGCTTAATTTCATGGAGCTTTAATTTCCTATAATAAGGTAACTATGCAGATAAATAATAAACAGTGAAATGTCGCAAATAATACTGTGGTCTTCAGCAAACAGTTCGATTATTGCTTGCTTCTTCAGTTTTGGTTATAAATCGAGGATAACGCAGTAAGAAGTGAAAACTATTGAAAACTGATCTTATTTCGAAAATTCAAGAGCTCTAAGCGTGTCTTCGAGTTTTTGTTCAACCTTTGGTCTGAATGAACACTTAAAGATGCAAAGGACTACTGGACTACCAGCAGCTTACGAAATAATAAACCATTAACAATAGCTTGACTATATTCCATGATCTCCTGTGGTCAAACCAATAACGAAATAATCTGCGATCAGGCGGTTCCTTTTCCCTTTTTGTGCCCCCCTCCTTCCCCTCCTGATCGTAGTTTAACACAAGAGGTGATGTTGTCATTGCCGAAGTTGACAAAGAATGAAGATCATCATATAACGGAATGACTTACTCCCTCAAGAGGGAGATTTCATTTTGACACTAAAAGCATCCCGGCATTTTTAGAAAATTATGCCTTGGAAGATTGCCTTAAAATGTCCTGACCTTCAAATCAGAGTTCAGGTAAATGCTGATGAGGACCTTCTACAGAATATACACGCATCCAGGCATGTTTTTAAGGTTGGCCACACTAACAGGGTCTAAATTCCGCACGTACCCTTCGATCATGAACAGCCGCGAAGATTCTTTCACAATCCACAAGAGTCAGAATCTTAAATGTTAACCGCTTGTTGATCTGCGAACAAGGGCATGTACAATTAGCCTCCCCTGCAACTTTTTAGGGTTCGTCACACGTTCCTGCCCAGAGACAATATGCTCAGTTATTTTAAGACCCTGAACGTTGGTCCGGCTCCCTCCCCTTGCTTTAAAACCCGTCCTCCCTACTTTGCAGTTCAGTATTACTATAGTCTAAAGACTACAGAGTTGCCGATTATTAATAGCTCTCCTCAAACACAGTCTAAACTTTGGTTGACAACCAAAAAACGCGGAAATGTTCAGCGAAAACGGAAATCAGGTTTCTGAGAGTTGAAGGTTATTAATGATATCGTTATACTGGACACGTCCACAGAAACACATAAACACTGGAGGTACGAGACTCAAGAATTGCAAAAGTCGAGATAACAGTCTTCCAGTTGTTTCAAGTTTAACATTCGTTTGATGGAGACGTCAAAGACGCGTTCGGTCTTTAACACTCTAGCCTTTTCGTCAATAGTTCTCTCCATTGTTTGTTTCATGGCACTGGTTCAGGTTGAGGTCGAGCTTCACGCTCATCGAAAAATGCTTCAAGTCCTGACTCACAACAAAGAAGGAAATGTTTCGCCAAGCCAAACTGTAAATAACGAGCTGATTGCTTTCCCGCGACACGGCTACTCGAGTAAAGGTGAGTGCCAGTTCACTCAAGTTGGTTGCTGAATGAATCCCCACGTAAACAAGATCATAACATGTTGACTGAATTTTCAAAGGTGAAAAGTAGTGAAAAGTGCAACTGAACAATACCGCAAAGGCAAACGTTTTCTTCGGGAATGAAACAGGCCACGTACGCTTAGTTCCGTAATGAGTTCAGTTGAAAAAATTGGACAAAAATCAGAGCAGGGGCAGCTCATACAATGTTAAGTCACACTTGAACAGCCATTATACAATTGTGTACGTGCATATATATAAACGTTAACATATATTTTATCTTTGATGTGATTAAGGCATAAAAAGGGTACAGTGTAAATGAGTTCCTTATTTCTTTAATTCACCGCTATTTCGTACGTACTGCGATATTATAAAGTATATAAAAGCGTTTTGAGTGTATGCACGTTGTAGCTAGAGGGCATAAAATGCAACGTGCGTGTATTAATGGTTTTGTCTCTACATTAAATTAAACTTTTACGCAAAAAGTTAAGCCGTGTCATATTACACTTTGGAGAGGGAAGCTATTGTGTACCGGTTTCAGCTGGGCCTGTTAAGCACGTGAAATAGAGAAGACTTCCTCTTACATACATACATACATTGTATGTATGTATGTATGTATGTATGGGCTTACCTGTGTGTGTGTGTATGTATGTATGTATGTGTATAATCTTTCCGCGAATGACGTCATTCATTGGAAATTCAAGATGGCGCCCAGACTTATTAAAAGCGTGAATATGAGGACGACCAGCCGCTTAATAAAAGACAGTTCTAAAAGAGAAGCATTTTAAAACTGCCAAATGGAGAACGGTCGATGCAATACAAGGGATAACAGATTCGAGTATAATTATGCCCTAGTCAAACCTTAAAAGGAGAATGACAAAGGACTAACGAAGGACTAGTTCGGTTTCGTTTTATTTGGATCTCATCAGGCAATAGTTTACCTTAGTGAAATGAACTATCGGTGTAAAAAAAGTTTCCCTTTCGGTGAAAATATAGTACAGTGATAAGATATCGTGAACACGGCAACAATGTTCGAATAATAAACAGAACGATTGACAACGTTGAAAACACGAAATGGTGGTAAGCGACTTAACAAGACATAAACTAAGACCACCCCATGCACTTTTTTTCTGTAGTTTGCATTTGGGATAAACAACAATTGCACAGAAAGGAAAGAGACTAAAGATCAGCTCTCTAGTTTTTTGTACTGTGGCAAAACTCATTTACTAACCTAAACTTTAAGGCAAAGTTGAAAAACTTACCTCATTCAAACGTGTGAATTCCACCGCCCTGAAACTTCTCGGGTCTAAATTTTAGTTCCATCACGGCTTGTTGTTCGCCATCTTGGGCACACGTGAAGAGCAATGTCTTCTCGCCAATTTCCAATAGAATTATGGGTACATACGGCGAGTAATGAAAATCTCAGATTTCTGATGCGGCCGCCATGTTATAACGTAAGGTGGTTATCAAATTTGATAACCATCCCGGACTGAGTAATCAACTTAAATCTGGTTTTGTTATCAAAGTATGTTTATCTTGATGACCGGTGTGTCTATTATTTGCAGAAGCACACAGTCGCTACAAACGTAGCTTAAAAAGTAAAAACAAGAAATCAAACACGAGCGTAATAGTCAGTCGTGACGACATCAAAAGCATGAAGAGCCTCATAGCTTAGATACGGAAACTTCGGTCATCTGAAATGACCGACCTTTGATCTCTAACAGCAAAAGACAATAGCAGGCGTTGATAGAGGACGCAGTCGGACTTTCCTTTGGTTGTGTTGAAGTGAATGTTAATCGTCAGTCACACGTCAACTCAGCTACTGTTTTAAATAAGTTGTATGAAATGTGATAAGCAATTAACTCAGCGGAGGTGTAAGACTGGATGATTCTTTTTTAAATTTTTTTCAGCGTTACGTGTTGAAATGTGTGAATGATGTTACACCGAGGTTTGAAACTGTGAAAAGGTTTTTTTTTCGTTGTAGTGGGGGAGGGGTACCGATTACAAAGCCAGTCTTAGTATTAAATAAGCTTTACAGTTAGGCCGGTAAAAACCCGGTAAAAAAAAATCGAACTACGTCCAAATGAATAACTGCTTATTTATAAAAAGCAAACACCGTTTGCTGTGGATCAAAGAACCAATCTGCGGGTTTGTACGATACCGGAATGAAGAACCCGCGTGTGTCAAAAGAGAGAAAATGATTGCTTCTTTCCTGTAAATCGCCATTTGACGTACACTAGAAAACCATTTCCCTCACGGAAAACAAGCGGAATACCTTAAAATGGATAACATTTTGAGACTGGGTGAGCTTCACAAGAAGATGCCTCTATGTGTATAAGATTCCTAGGGTGACAGTGACAGCGCTGCTTGATATATATGGTCCAATGTATATCTTGCATTCACAAACTACAGAAACATCGTTTGTATTTGGCGGGACATTATATTGAGCCTTTCAATTTGGAAACCTAAATGAAGTATTCCCTAGTAGCTGAAAGGTACAGTTTAAAATCGAATTAAATGACAATGACAATAGATACAAACACCCGCGGAGCATGCCTTACACAATGCAGATGGTTTAAAATGCTTATTACCCCACGTATATAAGGCCACGTGCCTCATTCCTTTCTCGCAGCTGATTCAAAATGACCAGCTTTACAACAGACTGTCCATCTTGCGAAAAAAAATTTAAAAC